ACAACAAAAAATAACTTTGGTCTTCAAAACCAACTTTAATATGTGAAATCTTGTTCAGTCCAGTCAGCATAAATACATTACCTTTTAATTTCCCATTATCTGGGAAAATGGATGGGAGATTTTACATAAGAATGAAATAAGGATGGAATACAAGCATATACATGTTTTACACAATTGTAGAAATAAAAAACTTTCTATGTACCCTGAAAAGGAATCTGAACAGTACGATTTGGTAAGCGGCTTCTCTGCTGATGTAGAGGATGCTTCCCATCTTGGTCTTTTTTTCATTCTATCATTATTAGTGGCATCTAAATTCCCTTGTTTTGTCCTCTTTATTATAGTACCCTTACAAAAAGTAAAAGATTCCTTGTTGTACAGACGTTTTAGGAATGTATTATATAAGCTTAGAATATTTTCAGGCACATTTTATCTTTTCTCTCAAATTCACCCATACATTTCCATCATCTTATTAAAGATGAGTTCAAATGTGTTTTATTTAATGCACTAGTGAATGCATTACTACGTTAGGAAATCTCATGGAAATTCATGTGCTTAATGCTAAAGTGCCTCCCATCCAACACCCATTTCAATTAAAGTGTGACATTGACAGAGCCTTAATGCCCTCAACTGCTCATTTGACACAATCTCATGCAGTGATATCTCCCCAAAACAGGAAGCTGCCTTCGCATCTCGTTTGCATTAGGCATTCATTTTAAGATTAGTCACATGGCTAATGAGCAGCTTGGAGGCTGTCCAGTTTGCCACACTATGTCATGCTTCCTTTCCTGCCACTCTGCTTGCATTAACTCCCTGTGATATTGCCAGAGAATGTATGGAGTGAAAATTGCTCTTATCCATTTGTTCCAGAAAATGATCACATTCGCTACCATTTGGAAATGGTGCCTGTTGTTGATTGCAATTAAATATTAAATGCGTGCTGAAATCATTTCATTTTCTTGAAGGGCTAACCTAGGAAATTGTGCTCACATATGCTCTATCCGATACTAAAGGAATTTTTCACCTTCCCCTCCTCATTTCCATACAAAAATAATATGTTCCTGTCTCAAAAGGAATGGCTACAAGCCTAAAATACAGAAATTATTACTGTTTTATCTGGAAGTGCAATTATATGCAAAGTGACTTCATCAAAATTAACATTTCAGGTATCCTTTAACTACTCAATATTCTATATAAATGCACAAACACCTATTAATATATTTAAGTGTATGTATATTTATTTACATTTATACATAATATCAAATGGTCTGAGTTTATCAAGACCTTAGAGCTTCAAAACTGTGACAATCAGATAAGACAAAGAGAGGTTTTACAGCCCTTTTTTAACTATGATCACTTAATCTGACAGGGTCACTAATCAGAGCACTTCTCTGAACACACTCCCACTGCAACAAAAATGCACTGAATAACACAACAGCAGCCTATGACAAAAAAGAAAATGAGAATGTCTCTGGAATTTTAATGATACATGAACATTATTATTACCCTTTTGTATGGACTGTTTGGGCTTTACTTTTCAACTAGAATATCAACAAACTGTATCAGTTCTGTCTTCCTGTGCCCTGGGAATAGGCTTCATTGTCCCATCTTCTGTAACTAGAGGTAATAGGCACAGGTTTTATTTAACAAGAAACTAGAGATGAAGGGGAAAAAAAAAAAAAAAAAAAAAAGCTAAAATTATTATTCCACTCCCAAGACAATTTTAAGGTGGAGAGTGAAAAGTTAAACTGGGTCATGGTCTTTAATAATCCAAAACAAAACCTATTTGCATATCAAGGAATATTGTGCTAGTTTTCAAGGTACTGTAAGAGGTTCAAAGGAGGACAAAACAAGAGGAAGGAGGGCAAAACAAGCGGAAAGCTAATTGTTTAAAGCAGTTAAATGGACAGTAAAATGTTAAATATTTATAGCTAATTGGTCATGGGGGATATTCAAGTTTTTCTTCTAAGTTTTAAAGTGATTAGCCTCTTGGATTTGAAAGACAGTAATGCTATTTACAAAGGTACTTCCAATTACTTCCCTCCCCGTCTCCTCCTCCTCGTTCTATTAGTACATCTCCTAGGAAAATCCCCATCATAAGGCAGGCAGGTATAATATCCTTCCTGTCAGGACTAACCCACTTAAATCAAGGCTAAATTTGCATGGAAGAACAGTGATTACTGCTCCATCCCCGAACACAGAGAGTTGGGTAGTTAGTGGAAGAACATTAAGGAAAAGCATGCAGGCATTTATTAGATTCTTATGCCCATGTAAAGCAAAGGAAATTACAGACTGTACCCTAAAGATTAACAGGAGCAAAGTAGGCTCAGCTGGTTGGTTAATACTTCAAATCTGTGCATTATCGTTCTGTTACATAATATAATACTTTATCATTTCCACTGAATGTCACCTTTTCAGTAACATTCACAAAAACTGCTCTGGCTTAAAATGCCCCAAACCAGTAATACCACCAGTGGGCAGAAATGTTATTTTCAAAGATGCATCCCAGGGCAGTATTTCCAGAAAAGCTTAGGACAAAGCTTAGGAAAAGCTTAGGAAAAGCTCATGAGTCGCACAAGTAGGACACAAATTGCTGAGAAATTAAAATGGGGCCTAAAATGTACGACATAGAAGAAAGGCAATATATTGATTTTTAYAGAGGCCAGGGATCTAAGACACGGTTGAAAATCTAAGTACAGTTTTGTGCTCTACCACTCTGCTGGAATGTGGAGGGGTGTGTGTATCATGTAAAGGTTTATTTTGTACATAGCCTGGTTTTACTTTTTTCCCTGAACATCCTGCTGGGTTACTGTGAAAACAAAACAAACAAACAAAATCTCAACAAAATTTGAGACAGATCACTCTCCTGTCTCAAAGAGARAAGTCTTCTGGTATATAAAACAGCTTTTTGTGGCTCATTCTTTGAAAGCTTAGGGGAATAATTTCCCCTCAGGCAACTCCTGTTAGYAATACTGCCTTGGTCCTGGGTATGGTAATTCTGGGTCACCATTTATTCTGTCAATCTCRAAAATTTGCTAGAGCTGTAAAATCTTAGCAGACATCTAGAAAATACCTTACAATATGCCTGCCTGTCAATGCACAAGAAATACTAAGATAAATCCTAGGATTTGATACCCACGTCTAAAGAAACTTCCAATCATATGAACTTTTTTCAATATATTGGGATTTTAAAAAGAGGTTTACCACTATTTCATAAAACAAATGATTTCTTCTGTTTATTTCTTTATTTTATTTTATTTTATTTTATTTTATTTTATTTTATTTTATTTTATTTTATTTTATTTTATTTTATTTTATTTTATTTCATTTTGTCCAATGTTGAGTGGTCATACCAGAAATACACCTAACAGCACAGACAGGTACTTATAGCACAAGATTTTACCCTACAGTTTAGTATATATTTTAAAATACGGATAGAAAACAAGCCAGTTTCAGGATGTCCCCGGCATGCTCTGAGAGACATAAGTGCTGAGTGGATAAAACTCACATTCCTATTTCCAGCTCTGCCCCTGGCAAGCTGCGTGAATTTGAATTCAAATTTTCACGTCTTTTCCTTTCCTCCTCTCTCTTTTCCTCTTTAGAGTGTTGGTTTTACAGGGTAGAAGCTGCCTCTCACTCAAGGAGACCTTCATCCTGATTAGGTCCTCTAGGCATTCCTGTCGTGTGCACTTATAATGCATCATAAGCTTTCTTTCTCTTTATGATTATTTATTATTCATATTGTGGTAGTGTCTAGAGACCAATAAGTTAAGATTCTGACAAGTTACAATATATGGATAAATACAGATGGCAGGTGGATAGTTAATAATAAAGAAGGATGTATGTACATAACTTAATGGTGTCAGTAGCTACTAATTCTCTTCCCCTCTTTTCCAATTACATGTGATTAGATTTTTTTCCTGAGTGCAGCAAATGAATTGGAGGAAACGCCCTTGTGGCTTTGCCTTCTGTAGAGTTCTTGGTAAATTCAATTTTCTTCTCTGATTTTTGCAGTGATTATAAAATTCCTACCTGTGTGAATATTTCATGAATAGATTTTTTTCCTCCATTAAAAATCACCATTTGCCAGAAGCCAATATCCAAGGAATGCACTATAGAGATGACAAATTAAAATAAATGGTACCACTGGCCAGGTTAGTCAGGCAGTAATTTTGTAGAGGTTGTACTATTCTTGATATCCACAACAGGGGAGCTAACTACATGACAAGAATTACAAATATTGGACATATTTTTCAAGATTATCTTTCTCCTCCTCAGACTGGGGAGGTGAAACACACTTCTAATGTAGGTGATAGGCTCTATGCAGAGTCTAACTCATCATCTTCTTGAGTGAATAGTGAATTGTTAAATTCTTCAAGACTCTCTTGTCCACCTCCTTTGTCAAGATATATCATATATAGCAGCTACATATTTCAGGTCACTGGCAAACCATGCCAAGCTCTGTAAAAGAGTCATAATCTTTCTTTTTTATTTCCTCTTATCCAAATTTTTTTTTTAGTTTAATGGACACAGAAATTAGACTTTTATTGGAAATAACCATTTTGTTGGCTTTATCTTATACATTTTAACACTTCAATTAAATCAGTGTAAATGATTTGAACAAAAATGTATGGTAATGACATTAGGGGTTTGCTGAGAAAACTGATCTTGGATTTATCTGAGACTAATGATTTCTGAGAATTCTTGAGTTACAGTTCCCTATGTGGAAACACTGTTTTCCCTCTTGTGAGGTTTTTGTTTTTCTTTCTGAGACCAAAATTAAACAGCCAGCATGAGTTACAAAGCTGAAAACCTGTTGTTAAAAGAGTTCTTCGGCAAAGCATTTCAGGAGCCAGTGGCTCCAATATGACCATAACACCATCTAATTGCCAGCAGACTACAAAGGTTTAATCCGAAGTTTACAAATCTTGCTTCTAACTCCAGAATATCTCAAATAGGCAGAAAGATTGAAAGCGATGAAGGGCAGAATAATCCTTACTCACCTATAGTTGGATCATGGTAGTCAGGGAACCGATGGCTTATGAACTGCATCGTCATTGCTGCAGAGAAGAAAGGGAAGGAAAAAGAGGGGTGTTAGTCTTAAAATGGCAACAAGCAAAAGAACAAGCAGAGAATTCATTCAGCCAAATACCGGCCTAGAAAGCGAGTCAAAAGTTCTGTTTCATGGCTACAGATGTCAGAATGCAGCTGTATAACAAAGATAACTAAGCACTGATAAATAGAAGAAAAAATAAACTTTTGTTTTTGTAATTATTAATTCTTAATTTCTTCTTTTTAAGAAAGTGCATATATCAGTTTCTGTATTAAAATACTACATCATTTAAGACTTGGTAAAACCCTGTTAATTTATTCAAAAATATAGAGGAAAATCAAAACTAAACATTTTTTTCCTAGCATTTCCTCAGTTGGATCATACACCAGCGTAACTAACCCTAAGGAGGTAATTGATACCTTCACAAAAGATTGTAATGCAGATTATAATTGTGGATCACATCTTTATTATGCTGATTGTAGTATACTTAGTATAATTTAAAAAATCAAGATTCAGAACTTCTTTTGTTATATAAAAAATCTATGGGATCACTGAACTGTCTTTGTGGCAAATATAGAGCAGAATTTTCTGATGACAAATAATAAAGTTTTCACTACAACTGCCAAACTAATCTACAAATACTCAAATAAAGAAAMAGATCAGGATCATGTGAAATGAAGAAGTTTTATTTATTTTCTTGGCATTCCTAAAGATGTCATTTCTATAAATTCCAAAAACAAAAGCTTGGAAAATGAAGTGTTATAATAATAATAAAAARCTTATCAATAATAAAATCTCACTAAGCAGTGAGTAACTAAAAGRGGAAGTTCCCATCTGGAAAATGTAAGCTTGTTTATTGTGATGTAATTAGATGAATCACAGAATCCTAGATTGGTTAAGGTTGGAAGGGACCTCTAGAGATCATCTATTCCAACCCCCTGCTCCAGCAGGGACACCCAGAGCACAGGGCTCTCAGTTGCATCCAGGTCGGTCTTCTCCAGAGAAGGAGACTCCACAGCCTCCCTGGGCAGCCTGTGCCAGGGCTCTGGCACCCTCACAGGAAGGAAGTTCTTCCTCACATGGAGATGGCACTGCCTGGGTTTCAACCAGTCCTATCACTGGCCAACACCAAGAAGAGTTTAACCCCATCCTCTTTACATTCTCCCTTTGAATGATGAACGATCACAAGGTTTCAAGTCATTGTCACTAATTAAATCTATTCTAACTGCTATACAATACTTAAAGGATTGAGAACCTACTGGAATTTGAGCAAAATGGATGAACTYGACAACCTCGACTTTCTCACAAACCAGCCGAGTACATTCAAAATTTTATAGACAAGAAAACAGGCTCGGTGATTCAGTGCGTTGTTTAGATCATAGTAGTACTTCACTCATCAGAACAACACAGGAAATTTTGCTGTCTCTGATTTTTCTGGTTTTTCTAAGTACTTAAATACTAATTCCAGCTCCGTTGAAAGGTACAAGTAGCTCCCTAACACTGAGAGCTGTGAGGCAAAAAGATTGAGAAACAGGTAAATACTAATCTGTCAGAAATGTGAAGTAAAAGTAGAGTCTAACATATATTTTTAAAATATTACTTGATTTTAAGCCAATTTCCTGATTTTTAAAGGATTATAACTCATGTTTTTTTAATGTCTGCATTAAATTTTCAGTACAGATGCTACGTGGCCRTCTGTACATATAAAGGAAAGGTAACCTTACCTGAATTTTAACTATCAGACCTAACACATTAATCCAGACACAGGATTCTTACATCCTGAATATCTTAYATCCATTGAGTAACAGAACTTTTGAACTAAAGCTTCCCATTTTGAAAATTCTGTGAATAATTAAATCCATTTTTTTCTAAATGGCATTTTTGCTTCATATTCGTTCTTTTATTTTAAAGGATCATGGGGTTAACTAGCTAGTTTTATAAAATGATACAGACAAGGAGTATTAAACATTCATTACCATGTTAATAAATTATTGCATCTTTAGTGTAGACAAATATAAATGTTAAGGAGCAGCATTATAAATTCATAGTAACTCAGAGAGGATAACTGTAAAAAACCCTCCTTCAGCCTATACATATTACAGGTGAATAAATCTATATGCAGTGACACTGATGTTCCCTATATTACCTGTTTTGAGATGCATTATTTCTAAGTGTGTTAAGGATATTTGAACATTTCCCTTTCCGGGACATCCTTTCTCTTTAATCCCACCACATTTTTTAAGCATCTCTATCTGAGAACTGTTTATTGGCTTCTGCAGATTAAACTGATGYTAATGTGATTTGCCTAATTCGCCTCAAGACACAGAGGCGGCTGCTAGGGACGCTCTTCACGTGGTTTACGCCTGCACATTTTGAGCTTTCTGAGGGCCTGCACCGCAAGTGAATTCCACTCGCTTCACTACCTGCTGTTTGCTCTTGCCAAGCTTCTTAAACGCCAAGCACGCTCTATCTGCTCTGCTTGTGTTTCCTTTGGAGCAAGGCCTGCATCACAAAATCCGCTTTCAAACCTGAAACTGGAATTCTCAGGAGACCCAGAACTCATGCTCAGCATTTTGGACTCTTTCCTGAGATATCCCCTGATCGATACATCTTTGATGCCCTCATAAAATCCATAGCATCTAGAAGGACAGAAGTGATTGAGAAGCATCATAGTGACTTTTTACTGCTATGCYGGGACTGTTAAAACTTCCATCTTCCCAAACACCATGTGGAGATATAAGTCACTAAAGCTTGTACAGCAACTTGGGTGGCATACAGAGATTTAGAGGCAAATCTGAAGAGGAATTGAGATCTTCCCATGTCAAGTCCAATACAGTGATTTCTGTATGCTTGACCACAGGCCCAGCCCGGAGATCTGAATGAGCTGAACTGGCTCTGTACAAGCTGAACCTGGAGAGGTAGAGAATGTGAGTTTCACAGGAGCACTAAACATGAAGKTAAATCCTCTTACCCTACAGTCTCACCTGGCTACAGAAACATCACATAGCTTGGTTTTACCAACTAAATGGTTGAGGAACCAACATTTGAGCTGTCTTTGGCCCCAATATCTTCTCCAAACTACTGTGAGGGAATTTTCTTGGCATAAAGCTGACTGGCATAAACCCATGCAACTCAGTGCTGCATCAGCTAAAGTACTGAAATGCATATTTCTTTTCAGGGGTACTAACATCAGCTCTGAAGTCATTTGCCAGAGTGAATTAATTCTGGAAACTAAAAAGAAAATGGTATGAGTATTTCACACTGCTTTGTGAAAATACTCTTCTTGGTCCTTTCTTTTACCCTTATCCATCATTCTATTTTCCATTCAAATTAACACCCACAATTAAGATATCCAAACCATCACCAGACATTTCTGTGATCATTTTCCTTTGGAAATCCAAGTACTAACCATGCAGACTTTTGCAGAAGTAAAAATTAGGGTCCTCTAAGCCTGATTTATGCCTCAAACAAAGCCCTGTATCAAAATCTGGGTTCAAGGCAGTATATTAAAGGAGAATAGATAGATAAGACCACTATTTGAATAAATACATATACATGTAAAAATGGAGTCAGTTAAAAAATGTTTATTGTGAAGAAAAAAAACCTCCCTTTTAATCCACAGCAGATATTGTGGAACATTTTGAATTGCAAGTTGCCTGAAAATTTTTAATGAATATTTTATAACGCTGTGAAGATCATTCCATTTAAATGGGACGTGTACATCACGTGGCAAGCACAGTAAGTAAAAGGATCGTTGTTTCAGATGAAAAGCATCTTCTTTATACCCTTCTGTGGCTAAGCAACTGCAGATTACCTCAGATGAATAAATGCAAGCCTGATATGCATCAGTAGCTATGTAACTATAAAGTTCTCTTTTGTTTTCAAACTAAAAAACGGGGTTCACATCCCAGATTTGCATGTTATTTGTTTCCAGCTATGCTTATCTAATGTTCATAAATTAAAAACCATAATTAAATGTAAATTACCTCCGAGTGGCAGTCACATTACTGTACTTACAAGTAATCCGTGTGTACGTGCTACCTATGTTGGTTTTGAATTTTCTTACAAGCTAATTTTCTGTATAATTACTATTTTCTTCATAAGAATACTTTCCTCACCTCACAGTATGAAATGCTATGCTTAGAAACAGGCTAAGATTACATTATTTACTCCAACACATCCTTTTAACCAGTRCAACAATATAAAAGCTTATCAATTTTTTAAAATCTGTGTTTGTAAGGACATACAGCCTTGTAGAAAGAGGCTGCTTCAAYACAGTTCTGAGAGCTGGTACCATAGAAACCTGCTAGCCTTCTAATTTGTCTTAACTTAGAAAGGTACAGACAATTTGTAAAGTTCTCCWATGCCTGTTTTTCAAGACAGAATAAYAGGCTTCCAGCTCACACAACAGTCTTGTTAGTAATAGTATCCAAGACTATCTTATATATATAAATATAACATATTATATATTTAWGATATATATTTATATATATTTCATCTCGAGCTTCCTCCTTATTCACCCAAGAATTGTCACCTCCTCCTATCTTCCCCATGGTGTTTGTGTATGGTCCTCAATTAATGCATCTCTAAAAGGAGCCTTTTCTTCCTTTTACAATTCTAGTCTAAACATCTAAGAAAATGATTACAGTAGTTTTCATACAGATGATTCCTTTAGTTTCCTAAACAAATTTAAATATCCAAATGGATCTTTACCTTAGTTTTAACAACTCAGTGTTAAATGTATAATGATTTAATCAGTGGCCTGTCAGATTGGTTCATCAAGTTATGAGAAAAGAAGAGAGCAAACAGATGTTGTTAACATGGAGAAAGTGGGAAACAAACTGATACAGAACATGATAACAGAACATGGTAACACAGTATCCACCACAGAACGAGACCCGGTTACAGAAATTACAAAGTTATAAACATGCAAAAAGTTTCAAAGACCCTGGCCTTTATCAATCCGTAAAATTAAATTACTTTTTAGAAACCTGGCCATGTTTAGAA